ATGCATTTGGGGTGCTTTCAACACGAGGACAGTGACTGCTTGAAGACGTGGCCTGAGCCCCCCTTGCAAGCAAACTCTGGCACAGCCCAAATGTGAACACTACACGCAATTTACACTGCAACTTAGCGGAATTAAAAAGTATCACAAATCACAAATATATCACCACAATACAGTCATCAGAAGTCCGTGTATGTACAATCAATCTTTTTTTTGAAGCTCTTTGTGTAATCTCAGCTGGTAAAAAAATCTTACCACGTAAGCAATGAGCACGTGTAATTCCGCAGATAGTATGATCATTTTGAACGCAATATATTACAATGTCCAATGACGCTGGAACTTTATCCATATTTATTTTACTAAGCACCGGGCAAACCGAGATTAAATTTGTAAAACAAAAATGCATGCATTTAATTTTTTTTTTTTTTTTTTACTTTTGGGTCGTGAGCAGAGTGATAAAATATTTGTGTAAACACAGCTTTAGGTTGTAGCTGAACTATACATTTAATGGTAGCTGAACAAGTGCACGCATACTTTGGAAGTTAAACATTGGGTGTGACTGAAATGAAGTCACACTCAGCATGACTCAGTCTTTTATTTTTCCTGGTGTGAAATAATGACAATAAATAATGAATGCGAGCCAAAAAAATGACTCGAGTCGACTTGAGTCAAAATATTATTTTATATGCTTAACCCAACTGCAGTGCTTCGTGCTAAGCCTGGTGAACTTTATTGGGTCACAGCTGGACTTCAACCAGCAAAGATTCGGTTCACAGCGGGAGCACTTGAACAAGATGATTTTTTTTTTTTAAATGGAACAATGTGAACGGAGTTTGTCTGACAGAGCCGACAAAAAAGTCCTTGCCAAAAGAGATTTCTGATCTTTATATGGAGGCATGTGCTTAAATCCCCACTCCTGACAGGTCAGTTGGCCGCAGAGCTCATTCGGGCAGAGCATGAGAGTGAATCACAAGCTTGTGTTTTCAAACCTGGCGTTGGGGGGAACTACTTCGGGCAACTGCCAATGCGGTACCCCACAGGAAGGCTAAAGAAGTCGAATTGTCTCGGGTATGTTTCTCCTGGCTGCTGCATTTACACCCGAGGTCACCCGACTCCTCTTTGGAAAGCTGTTGCCTGCTCTCTGGTGTTTGACAAACTGCTCAGGTCAAAATGCAGTCTTACTCAAATAGTTCCATTCACACATCACAGTGATATGAAACATGTTGCCACTGATGTATTGTTTTGCTTACATGTCTCTTCAGCCTGAAAATACACATAACACAGCGTCACGGAATCACCGACCATATAGGTTCAGCTTGGCATGCTGCGGTTTGTGATGTTTTTGCACAAGTTCCTGGTACCGGCTTAACACTTAGTATGTGATTCACAATGAGCTGACAACATGGAAAATGTATTCATTGTTCAGGAAAAAGTCAAGAGGCAAACATTTTGATACGTCAGGCAATAATGTGATCCAGTTTCGTGTGGCACAATTACTATTTTGCCGATTATGTTACTTAATATGTGAGCTAATTGGCTCATTTGCCTCAATGACAGATAAGTCACCCAAAAAATGGATTATTCAAAGGCAGAGACAAATATTGAGTTTGAGTTGTATTCTAATATTGCACCACATGGGAGATCCCTTCATAAAATATCTTCAAGATTTCAGCATGGGGTTTTGAGTGCTAAAATGTACTTTTTTTTTTTTTTGCCGAGCTGAACAATTATTTGAATACAAATCAGCATTGCAATGTAGTAGAATGCAATTTTTCTAAATCGCAAAGCTTGCAATTTACCACAAGGCAAGAAGTTTTGCTCTCCCTGACTGAGATGAAAAAAACTGAATTTTACGTAAAAAAAATCACCTCCCCACGACAAGCAGTACTCTAAATCGGCACTTTTATTATCCTCCAAAGCATTCATTACGCCGACACCTGCTTCAATGATGTGCCTTATGTCACGAGTCATCAAAAGGCGAGGAGTTCATGGTTAGGTCTCTAAATTTGGTAGCAATGCTCGAATGTTTTTTCAAACATGAGGCCTAGAGGCCAGATCCCGTTCGCCACATCATTTGTTATGGTCGACTAAAGCAATTAAAGTCTGTCTACCATGTGTCTTGCTAAATTGATTTGCTCTCTTCATTTTGGCAGAAAATCTGTATTACGTACCTGTTCTAACTAAAAAAAAATATATATATATATATATATATAGACAGCACAAGTATTCTTTCATTAAGGCCCATCCTTGATAATTGACACTATTTTCCATGAATTCTAATGTCAGTCCATTCGTTAAAATCTATGAGAAGAATTACATGGAGGGGAAATGTACTGTACAGGCATATGTAATAAAAATACGATTATACATTTATATATTTTGACAGTCATAATGACCCTCTGAGGGAAATCATGACTACAAAGTGGTCCGTGGTGAAAAATAGTTTTTACACCGCTGGACGGGAGGATCCAATTTGGAGTATTTCGAGAAGCTTTAGTATTTGTATTCCCCAAGTTCAACCCAGTTTATAATTCCCACTTTGTGTCCCTCAGCCCAGTTCCACGATGGCCTCTACAGGCTTCCTCTGAAAAATGCACAACAATGCAGCTGTTGGGAGTTCGAAGCGCTGACTGTAAATGGTCAAACGAGGACAAGCCACTAAAGTGGGATACGTTTGATCACTGGCATATTGGCACCGAGTTACTGGGTGACTCATCCTGAACTCTTCACGGTGAAACTGAATGTACCAAAATATGACCCACAAGTGAAGCCAGCTCTTACATAATGAATTTACACAGAATGGGACCGCCGCGTACTCGATACAGTACACACCATTCATAGCTTCTGCTTTATTCTTTTTTTTTTTTTTTTTTTTTTTTTTTTAAATTCAGCCATTCCCATCCACATCCGCGTCCACATGCTGCATTTGGCGCTTGATTTGCTCGTAAACACCAGCGGTAAAGCGCTGAAAATCAAGATGCAGCGAAATTAAGCTAAATTCATCGAAGCCTTAATGTAGCGCTACGAAAACCCCGAACTCGTCCCTGACTGACACGGGTAAGGTTCGCTGTTCAGTTTAATCAAAGTGAACGAGCTACCTTCTGATAATAACAACAGACGGTAGCTAGCTGCATTGAATCGCTTCAAGAACAAGCACGCAAAATCGGGTCCGACTAGTCGTGTTGTAATGGTATAATAAGCACCTCGATTTCGGTAATAGCCGCATTAAAGTCAAACTTGAGTTTAAAATCTGTCAGAAAATTACTCACGTCGCGTAGCCGAGTTCCTCCATGATAAACTGTGCGCCACATAAGAAGGGGGGAGGAGGGGGTGGAAGCGCCGGGAGGGGGGCGGTGCGTGTGGGGGAAGCGGTAACTCACCATGACTAAGCATTGTACGAGGGCCTCCTCTCCCCTTCACAATAAGAGTGAACGGCCGTGGCCTCAGTTGACACGCAACGACGGTCAATGGGATCTAATAGATGCAAGCTTTTATTGACAAAGGATTGGGTCAGAGTGAAAGTACTGTCATGGAAAACAGCCAGCTCAGTCAAACTCACGAACGAGGGCAAGTTCAACATGACAGCCTCGACCAAAGCAGCCAATTAACTTGGGTTGTGTATCGTAATGTAATTGTTTTTTTATTTATTATGATGTTGGAATGTAGAAGTACATGCACATTTAGAAGTGTCACCACCCAAAAAAAAAAACCAAAACAAAACCCAAAACTATTCACAGTTGGTAAATTTAATTTTCACGAACCATGTAGATTCATGTAAAAGTTAAACACTTCTCACATTACAAATTCTGTTACATTACCTTTAATTGTAAATTACTGTTACCAAATCACAGATCACACAAATAATTTCTCACACTAATTAGCAATGTTTGACCATGTTTGAATATATATTCATTCATTCCAAATTATCAAATCTACATCTTAAGGAAATCACAATGCCTTAGGGATGCAGGCTGTTCATATGGTCCCTGGGGATGACGTGGTGCCTGCCAGAACCATGTTAGTGACCCCAGATTCAGAGTTTCCTCTACACTGAACCTAACATGCATTTCTTAGGATTGTGGAACCTAGCCAGAGTGCCCAGGGAATATGAATGGTGATCAGCAAAAGTGACATTTTTGATTGCCAGGTTCGGCTGATTAAACCACAGGTGTCAAACTCCGCATGTTTTCCATCTCTCCTTGTTGTAACACACCTGATTCAAATGATCAGCAAGCTCTGCAGAAGCCTGATATCGATCCTGTTCATTTGAATCAGATATTGAATCAGGCGCCTCGGCTATGTTGTGTTATGTATATTGTCTGTGGCGTTTCCCACAACTTTACACAATTGACGTTTAGTATCTTTGCATCAGCAGTTGAATGCTGTAAAAATGTCTATGAGCAATTAAGATGATACGTTTTTATGCAATGATTAACTGTTTTACTTTGATAGTCATTTGGTGGCCCTTCGGCATAAATTCCCACCCTAAAGGTGGCAGGATACATAACTGTCTATTCTACTTACAACCACAAGGTGGCAAGAAACACTGTAGATCAGGGGTCACCAACCTTTTTGAGAATGAGAGCTACTTCATGTGTCCTGATAGTGTGAAGGGCTATCAAATTGATACACGTCTGAAATAACATTTGTACAAATTACATTTAATAATATTAGAATGTGTTATTTTTAATACTTAATGATTTTAATTTTCAGGCTCTGATCATCTTAAAGATGTCTCACAATTCTGCCCGTGTTTGCATTTTTAAATAATTTCTACTAGTAAATCACAATCCTAGCACTGGCAGGCTATTGGTGTGGTCCTCACGGGCTACTTGGTGCCCGCGGGCACCACATTGGTGACCCCTGCTGTAGATGCATGCAGGGCGACTAATGTTCGTTTCAATCACAGCTCACACTGTTAGGCCGATGTGACATGATCTGAGTGAGCATGGCATTTTATCCTACTAATCTTGTATTTTATCTTTTTATCAATTTTTAAACACATCCATCCATCCATTTTCTAATCTGTTTATCCTCACAAGGGTTGCGGGCGTGCTGGAGCCCATCTCAACTGTCTTTGGGCAGTAGGCGTGGTACACCCTGAACTATTTGCCAGCCAATCGCAGCTGATTAAACACATAACTTTCAAAATGTAATTTGATAAGAAACAAAGCAATGATATGATCTGACAAGCCTTGAAAAGGCCTTTCCTTTAAATTCCTCACTCAGTTGACTGCCCAAATCTGTCTTTCCTTCCACTCAATTGATCCCAGTTGACTACGATGGGTCCTTGCAGACATATTTTTCCAGTTAATTATTCTAAGGCTGCTCTGAGATAGGTTTGGTGTTATGTTTTCTGTTATAAATATTGTGTTGCTGAATAATCGCTCCAGAGGGCAGTTGAGTCTTTTGTAAATATGACTTTGTGACCTCTGTCAGTTTAGTTTGTCGCACCTGTTTTCTGAAGATGAGCCATGACTGGTTGTTACCTGAGCCCCGAGCAACTGGGATGTAATTTTCAGTTGACAGCAAGTGGCAAAATTGCCGTCCGCTGAGATGGACAAAAACGGAGGGATTTTACTGCCTAACTCATATGACACAAACACAACATTAATCAGTATGCCGTGTTTATGTTTAGACTTGTGGGGCAGCATGAAGCATATTAAAAAATAAAATTTGCATATTTAAAAAAAAAAAAGGTTTGACATCCCCTTGAACCTCATGGGTTGGCAGATGAAGGGGAAAAAGGAACCATGTTTATATGGTCACCCTTGGAATAAAAGGTGCGTTATATGGTGCGTAAAAGGTGTAGATGTAATATAGGTTAATGCCCTTACCAGATGTGAGACGAGGGGGCTCACTTCCTGTCGTGTCGCTTGTGGTTCTTCAAAAAGGCATCATGCACAATTTAAGACAACATCCAAATAAACCCAATCCTAGAAACATTTTAAATACTTTATTTAAAAAAAAAAAAAAAAAAGAATCAATACCATACGCTGTTACAAAACGTATATAATTTAGTATACAATAGTAACCACAAGTTTTCAAAGAAAATGTTTCACAAAATAAATGACAGTATAAAAAAAAAAAAAACAACAACGTTCCATCATTTGTCAATTAAGGTTCTGGCAGAGGACAAAAAAACATTTGTACAAAAGTCTAATGCCAAACATGAGATAATAGAAAACATGTGTTGGGTCTGTCACTGTATCCAAATACAACATTGTGCTTGTGTGGTTGAGCTTTTCGGTCGGGCTGACATTTCACACCAAAACCGACAGATTTTCCACTGGGCGCACGATGACTTCACTGTCATTTCAAAACAGTCTCCGCATCTCCCTCCCACGCAATGCATTGAAACTGTCTGTGGTCAAATCTTGTGTATGCGTTTCTCTTTCCTGTTCATTTTCACCTTGCATTACAAACACAGTAAGCCAGACAGTCTATTTAGAACACTATACTTCACATCTCGGGCCTTCAATCCAGCAAAATCCATGTGTTTACGGAAGAACGAAATTCTGTTTATCTGTGTTGAATCGATGAGAAACCACACTGAGCCGTTGAAGAAAGCCATTCAAAGAAAGTCTGAATGTGATATTCACATTAGTCAGTACGTAATTGGTTTCATCAAAGTGTCCTTCCAGGCTTGGATTCGAACCACAGAACCACACGAGTGCAAGCCAGTTTCTCCACTCTCTTTGATATCTCAGTGCAAATTAGTTCACAAGTTGCCTTGTTCAGATTTGTGTGGCCTTGTCTCATCGTGCAAGTACATGTCATGGTTGTCTACAAGGGAACCAGTAATTAGTCTATAAAAGGAATACTTTAGATTCTGTAGCTTTGGGTGTTGGATTCTTGCATTTTTCTGCCACGGCACGTCTTTTTTTTTTTTCTGCTTCGAGTCTATTGTAATCCTTTTCCACTGCACAGTCCCAACTCGCCTCAAATCAGCTCTGCTCGCTGCTGTTTGGGTTGTTCGCTTTCACAAGTTGCAACCATCTATTTTCTGTTTCGCTGTTCCTCATTCAGGTTGTGATTGATCTGGAGTCTATCCCAGGTGATTTTGAGCGAGAAGCGGGTTACACCCAGAACTGGTTTCCAGCCAATCACAGGCCACATATAGACAAACAAGAATGTCGATTTATATTCACACCTATGGATCATTTAAATTTAAGTTGCTGCCCGGTGTTCAATTTTCCATATCACCATGGTTGTCAGTCCGAAAACCAACCGAAAAAAAAATCTGTGACATCTTAACAAACAACAACAATGCTCTCCTGGATTTACTTCTCGGCTTGTGGCCTCATGGTAAGGAAAACCATTTTTATCCAAGTGGTCAACAACTGGTAAGCAAGGACCACTAAGAGACCAACATGGGTTTACATCACCCCATGTGGTGTCAACTTGGCATGCACCACACACTAAAATAGTCCCTCGTACATCTACTTTGGCCTGTGGTGAGCCCAGCGGATACCATGCAGTGGAAAAAGGGGTATTTGTCCTCCAAAAGGTGAGCTACATGTCTTCTGTTAAGTGCGAGCCAAGCCAACAAGTCTTAAGGCTGGGATGTCAAACCCGTTTTTGTCGCGGGCCATCTTTTAGTTACCATTCCCCTTGGTGGGCCGTTATGACTGAAACCATATAAAGAAGTCACTGATACCGTTTTATTCAACTATTGTTGAAGTTACTGTAATGAGGGGTTAGGTAACAAGACAATGCTTACACTAACTCGCTATTATTTATTACGTTTGAGAATTTCAAATTTTGGAAGAGATTTTAGCAAGCATCATGGAAGCTGACATGTTTGATTTGCTTTTGTGGGCCACAGAAAATGATGTGGCGGACCAAATCTGGCCCCCGGGCCTTGAGTTTGACACCTGTGTCTTAAGGCTTTAACAGTTTCGGATAGAGGCTCTTGATAGGAGACGGGCCGGTGACGACATTCCCAGAGGAAATTGTTGTCTCCGCCCCCGCCTCCAACTTCTGGGAGGGCACCTCTGTTTTACTGAAGCTACACTCAAGGAAGGGCATGCCAATCTTCTTCACCTGGCCGTCCCTGGTCATGAGACACGGCCGACAGAGCAGCCTCAGAATGGCTCTCCTCATGTCCTTGCTGGTCAGGGTGTAGATGATGGGGTTGAGTAGCGAGTTGACCATCGCGACTCCCAGAAAGTAGTCGGCCTTGAAGAGGAGGCGGCAGCTGCGCGTTGGGCAGAAGAAATCCAGGAGGAGGAGGAGAAAGAGAGGCAGCCAACACGCGATGAAGACACCCAACACGATGGTGACCGTCTTGAGGAGGGCGATGTACTTTTGGGACTTTCGGGCCAAGCCCTTTCTCATGCTGCTGGACAAGCCTAATCGCTGACGTTGCGTATTGGTACGGACGATGCGGAAGACTCTGGCGTACAGGACCACGATGGCGAGGAGAACTGCACTAAAGACTGATACGCAACACAGGATGTAGCTCTTGGCATAAAGAGGAAGCACGGTGGAGCACTGGTCCAGTCTATGGATGCAGTTCCATCCCAGGATTGGGAGGACGCCCAAAAAGGCCGCTAGAGCCCAACTCGCACAAATCAGCGCCAACATCCGCCCCCGCTTCGCACCGTGGTACGGCCTCATCGTCACCATGGTTACATGGCGTTCAATCGCAATGGCCAGCAGACTGATGACAGAGGCGGCCAGAGTGATGAAAACTCCTCCCTCCCTCAGGAACCACAGCAACGGCGTCAGCTGCAAAGTCTTCGGCCCGGACATGATGATGTTGGCCATGTAGGTAATCCCGGCCAGGAGGTCTGACAGAGTCAGGTTTCCCAGGAGGTAATACATGGGCAAGTGGAACTTCTTGTTCCTCCAGATAGCCAGGAGAACCACGGCGTTCTCCAGCACGATGAGGAGACACACCACCAGGAAGGCGATGCCCTCGGGTCGGAGGCCGTCACGGTAACGGTCCCCCTGCAGCTTGCCCGTGTAGTTGTAATGTTCCATAATGACAGACTTGTCCTGATAATGCCAAAAGAACTGAAGATAGCCATAAGAGGAGAGGGTGGCGGAGGATGGCTGCATAGCGGACGCAGTTGGGGAAGTCCCGGCAAGAGCAGGACTTGAAGCCTCCATAGTTTATGGTCCTTCTGCTTGGGGCGAGTGGCTATAAAGTCATTTCAGTTGACATGATTTTGGCCAGCATTATGGAAAAAGGTCCTTCAACACACGGGGGGAAGAAATGATATTCATCTTTGTTTTGGTTGCTGTTCTCAGTTTTACCACAAGAGGGGGCTATTGAGCCCTATTTTGTCCAGGCCACTGTAGAGGGAGAAAGGAGATACAGGATGCTGAATTGGTTAAAAAAAAAAATTGAAGAAATTATGACATCAATACAATTCATTAGAATACAAAACGATTTGTGTAAAACGTGCTGTTGTCATATTACATCTTGCAAAGAGCAGCATGCTGTGAGAAAATCCATTTTATTGTCATCATGTGATTTAAATCGACTAAACCATTCACAATCACTGTGATGTGGTGCCTTTGTGTGCCATGAGAGATCATCAGGTGTACTTGTTGGGTGTGTTCAACATTCATGTGCCTTGGCTCAGATGAGGCTGGGAAATGCTGCTTCAAATGGTTATTATGTCATGTTGATGTCAAACCAATGTTTAGTCTCAAGTCTCAGTGTCACTTTAAGAACATGTCAGTCAGTCAGTCCACTCCACAGCGTTTCAGACATGTGCACCCAATTTGAAAGAATGCAGCTGCACTGGCCGCGACACATCCACATCCAACTTTTATTGTATAGATGAAGTGTGTTTGAAGTAAGGCACATTGGAAATGTGCTTTAACCATCAGTGCCGAAGCACATAAGCAAACTATTATCATAAATTCGTCGCATATTTGTGCTTAAATTGTTATAAGCAGGGAAATTAAAGTCAATCAGAGGTAATTTGATCTGCATTCGTCACGCTCCTTTGTGAGGTTGTTTTTTTTTTTTTTTTTGCCTTCACGTCATATGTTAACATTTATTGTTTAGGGATAGTTCACACCTTTAGCGGTA